TCATACAGTATTTATGGGTATTGGGCATAGATTGGGACCAATCTGTTCCTCAAGAAGTCGAAAATCGTTGGTTGCAATTTCAAAATGAATTACCCACATTAAAGAATATAAGTGTTCCACGAAGAGTAATTTCGAGTGACTACCACTCAGTAGAGCTTCACGGGTATTGTGATGGGAGCGAGAAAGGGTACGCAGCCGTGGTCTATTTTCGATTGTTGAGCAAAAATAGGGCTCCTGCTATTTCGCTAGTTTGCGCGAAATCTAAGATATCTCCATTAAAGAGAATTTCAGTTCCTCGTTTAGAACTGTGTGGGGCAGTGCTCTTGTCCAACTTAATTTCGGAAGTTATTAATTGTTACTCTTCCAAACTTGTCTTCGCGGATATCTATGGTTGGTGTGATTCTAAAACCGTTATAGGTTGGATAAAATCCTCCCCTCACAGGTGGAAGACTTTTGTAAGTAACCGTGTTACCCATATACAATCAAAAGTTTCTCAAAATATCTGGCATTATATTTCCACAAAAGAGAACCCTGCTAATTGTGCATCTCGTGGTCTACTACCCACCGAGTTGATAAATCACCCCTTATGGTGGGCGGGGCCTCCGTGGCTGCATTCTGACATACTTCCTTGTAATAAGTTGGAAGTTGTCATTAGTGATTGTAATGACGAATCCAGGCCATTTGCCCTTGTTTCGACACGCACATCCTCAGAAATAGCTACATTACTTTCAAAAATTTCTAATTTTGGTAAAATTAAGAGAATAATAGTGTATTGCTTGAGATTTGCTTTCAATTGGAAGAATTCCGACAATAAACGGCTTCATGATCCAGTTATGTCTGAGCTTAATGAGGCTCTTTTGATATTGGTAAAACAAACTCAAGCCGAATATTTTTTCGAGGATATTTCAAACCTCACAAATAAAAAACCTATTTCAAATCAGTTACGACGATTGGTTCCTTTTTTGGATAGTTCAGGTATACTAAGAGTAGGTGGGAGGCTCAAACATGCTGATGTTGCGTATAATTACAAGCATCCCATGCTGCTGCCACGTCAAAGCAGATTAACTGAGTTAATTATTATGGAAACACATTCAGACAATTTTCACCCTGGTTTTCAAACCACTCATTCTCTCATTTTGCAAAACTTTTGGATTCTGAATCCCAAGAGAGCCATTCGCTCTGTTATTGGAAAATGTTTAAGGTGTTTTAGGGTGAATCCTACGTCTAATATACCTCTAATGGCTGATCTTCCTTCATTCCGCGTAAATCAATTAAAGTGTTTCTCTCATGTTTGTGTTGATATGGGCAGGCCTTTTCTAATAACTCCCAATCGTACTAGAGGTTGTAAGACTTTGAAGGCATACTTATGTCTATTTGTATGTTGTAGTACAAAGGCCTTACATCTTGAAGTCACTTCAGATTTGTCTTCAGAGTCATTTTTGGCGGCTTTACGGCGTTTTATCTCCAGACGAGGAAAGGTGGTGAATATCTACAGTGACTGCGGCACCAATTTTGTTGCCAGCAGCAAATATATTAAAGACATAATGCAGTCAGCTTTTGAAGCTGAGAAAATTGCATGGAACTTTAATCCTCCTGCCGCCCCACATTTTAATGGATTAGCCGAATCAGGAATTAATTCGGTTGAAACTCATTTAGTACGGATTATAGGAGATCAGATTTTGACTTATGAGGAACTGAACACTATTATAGTACAAATAGAAGCCATGTTAAATTCAAGACCATTGAGTCCAATAAGTTCCGACCCTAATGACTTGAATGCCATAACGCCTAGTCACTTTCTTATATTGGAACCGATCACGGCACTTCCCGATTTTGATTTAACCAGTTGCAAATTAAATACCCTAACGCGTTGGCAATTATTGATGCGTATGAGTCAAGACTTTTGGAAAAGATAGCGCGATGAGTATTTGCATACTCTGTCTCAGAGATATAAATGGAATACCGCTTCAGATCCACCTAAGATTGATATGCTTGTGGTTCTTAAAAATGAACAATTTCCTCCTTTACAATGGGAACTTGCGAGAGTCGTTAAATTACATCCAGGCTCTGATGGGGTTTGCAGGGTAGTAACAGTCAGAACGGCTCGCGGCCTATTTCAGCGCCCGATGGTAAAACTCTGCCCATTACCTGGTCAGTAGGCTTCTCTATGCTTGTTCAGGATGTTTTTTATTAGGATTATAATTTTATATATTTTTTTTTTTATTTTTTTTTGTTTTATACAAAATACGCATTCGGTATTTTGGTGGGCGGTAATGTTTGGGACTTACGTTTTATCGTATTGTAATTTGGGTAATTTAAACGCAACTTGTATATATGTCTTAAATTTGAAGTGTAAATTTCAATTATTAATTGCGCGTGAGAATGGCATTTCCATGGACTCTTCGCGCGGTACCGTAAAAGAGAGCAAGAGTGCGCTCTTGATTAAATAAGGACAGAGAGATGTAGTAGCCGAAAATATGTGCTGTCGCTGTCCGAAAGATGAGAACGATTTTTGCCGGAAATCAAACCAGAACCAATTATTTTAGAGGATAAAACCCACGCAGTTTCGGGGTAAGTCCTTTATTGGTTTTGCCATTTATCGATTTTTGATAACTTTAAAAAAATACAGTCCACTGATTAGCTCGTACAAGTATCAACCCAGACAAAAAAGAACAATCTAAGCTCTTAGGGGAGTTAAAGAAACTAACCTCTGAGGCCAACAGCCTAAGGAATCAAATGTCAAATTGGTAAAATTGCTCAATTTGGACAACCATGTTTTCTATAACAGCATTAATAATAGAACAACTTTGAAAGTAGGTGATGCAGGCAGGACTTATGCAGCGATAGCTAAATCTGAGCCCATACTGATCTTTACGCCTAACAACAACAACCAATCCAGCAGTACCACCATAGAAGTTATTAGGCATAAATTCGATCCAACAGAAGTAAGTGCAACTCGAGGTGCTGTAGTGATAAGTTGTGAAAATAAGAACGAAATTTCAGAACTAAAAGACAAATTTTCCGCTGAATTGACTGACAATTACTCTGTAGTTATTTCCACTCTCAAGAAACCAAAGCTCAAAATATTCAATATAGATAATTATAATATTGACCCCAAAGATAATGATGAAGTAATCATTGATAAAGTAGTCAGAGGTAATAGTTTAGATCAAGGTACCACTAACTCTCATATGAAAATATTGAAAGTCTCTACAAATAGATTCAAAAATGTAGACGTTATATAATGAAAGTTGACCCTCTAACTCACATAACTCTTCCAAGTCAAGGGAAAATTAAGGTTGGATGGTTTAGGTGCCGATACTTTTGCTCTCATTTGACAGCCGTTAAAAATAATTAGGGCTTTGAATGTGCTCTAACCACATCATACATAGACCTTGGCCCATGCAAAACTTTGACGACATATCAAATTCGTTAATCGATAGCAAAAGTATCGGCCCTAGATGTATGGTTTTCAATTCAATCACATAAGTGTACTGCAATGTTGCAAGTGTCTTGGTTTCAACCATATAGCAACGGATGGTAAATTTCCTCAGAAATGTTCAATATGCTCTGAGCAGCACCATTATAAAGAATGTCAAAGTGATTTAGAAAAATGTACTAATTGTGAAAAAGCGGAAAAGGATTATCAAACAAAAATCAATTCAAATCACAGTGCCCTGAACCAAAGATGCCCAATCTACATGAAATTATTCAATAACCATAACAAAAGGATAGATTCGGTACTCCATTGATATGATATAGCAACTAGTAGTTAAGAACTGTAATAAACCCGTAAGCAGAGGCAAAATAGTTTGCAATTTAAAAACAGTGCACATTAACTTGAGGTCAATAGGTAATAAGTTTCTTGACTTCAAGGATTTTCTGCTGAATGAAAAATGCAATGTATGTGCCAAGTGAGACATGGTTGAAACCTGAAACCAAAAGTAAATCCTTGAAGATAGACAACTACAATATGTTTAGATTGGACAGGCAGAGGTGGTGGTGTATTGATCTACACAGAAAAAAGCCTTAAGTGTAAACAAATTAACCATCCAATGGACAAATATGAACAGTCTTAAAGTTAATTTGACTAAAACTGATGCCATTGTGTTTGAAGGTAAAAAGAATGTGAAAGAAATCTTGGAGGTCAGCTTACCTTGAACAGTGAAGCATTAAGGTTTAGTGAACATGTTAGAAACTTAGGTCTTATTATGGACAAAAAACTGAATTATGCAAAACAAGAGGCATCCCTAAGTAGATCTTCTTCTCTCAAATAAAAAGGACTCTTATAATTTAAAAAATTATCTTCCCCAAAGATCAGAGTTACGACTGTGCGATTCTTTACTCTCCAAATTAGACTACTGTGTGACACTGTTTATGGTACGTGTTCATGTGCTGAAGATGCAAGAAGGTTACAAAAAATTCAGAATTCTTGCGTTCGTTTTGCATTACAAATCCCACGAAGAAACCATATTTCTCCATACTTGAAAGACATTCAGTGGCTAAGCATGAACGAAAGAAGATGGGTGCATCTCTGCACTTTCATACACAAGGTGATTTTGGCTAAATAACCCAGATATCTGTATGAAAAGATGGAATTCCGAAATATGGTCTATGGAAGGGAGCTTAGACATGCACTAGCTTCTTAAACAATCCCCTTCCATAGTTCCGAACTACAAAAACAGTTTTTTCTACAACGCAGCAAACATTTACAATAAGTTACCAGCGGATATTAAGGCTTCAAGTTCACCAGTTTTCCAAACTCTTAATGGTGATTTTGCTGTACTTTAAGATTTTTCTTTTCTTTCTTTCTTTTTTGTCATTATCACCATATTTGCTTCCAAGTTTTCAGTGATCTATATTTCTGTATGCTTAAGTACTTTCAAATTAACATTTTGGTCAACCAATTTCTTAAAAATTGTAAAAAAACACCTGTATTTGCAAAATAAACAATTTATTATTATTTTTTTTAATGCAAAAGTCGTTTTGTTCTCTTCTAGGTGCAATTCTGCTAGCATCGAAAGTCTGGGACGACCAGGCGGTCTGGAACGTCGACTACTGTCAAATTCTCAAAGACATAACGGTCGAGGACATGAACGAACTCGAAAGACAGTTCCTAGAACTTCTACAGTTCAACATCAACGTACCGTCTAGCGTCTACGCTAAATACTATTTCGATTTGCGCACATTGGCGGAAGCCAACGATCTAACATTCCCTAGCGAACCGTTGAGCAAGGACAGAGCCCAAAAGTTGGAGGCAATGTCCAGAGTGATGGAGGACAAGTTTACAGCTGAAGCGGTTAAAAATGGCTTGAAGAAATGGTCTAGTTTGGATAATATTACAAATGGGGGTGTCTCTGCACGAAGGAGTGTAGCAATTTTGTCATAAGTCTTGGATATGTGGACGATTTTAAAGAGAATTAACTTTCAATTTGGTTGATGAATAATAGGCCTACATTTTGATTATTCCTAATCTAATGAGTAATGACTTCCCGTTAGTTGTATAAGTAGGACTTAATTAAATTGGCAATGACCCAAATTTGAATTTGAAATATTGTGTTTCATATATTCAGGAGGCTCTTGTTTATAGTATATTTCCTAACGAGTGCGCAAAGTATTTTTTCTATGAGCGAGAAGATTTTTAAAAATAAGAAATATTAATTTGATTATTGTAAAGGATATTGAAAGATTTTTGAAACGACCTTTGGGCTGATGCAGGAACTGGGGGCTCCATCTAAAATATGTTAAATGTTCTGGTATATCTTCGTTCTCTTGTGTTTCAATTTTTTGCGAGTATCTAGGCTTAGGCTCACAATGTAGATAAAATCATGGCCAAAGAAAAGATGACAAATTACTTTGTTTGACACTGACGTGACACTGACCAATAAACACTGACAGCAAATTTCATGCAATCATTTAGGGTCTGTTTCCACAGACATCACAAACCAGTCAGAGCGAATTTCATTGGTTGGAAATAGTTAGTAAACTGGTTATTCGCGATTTGAACCACTCAAAAAACGCTCTAACTGGTTTGTGATTTCTGTGCAAACAGACCTTCAAGGGTACATGAATATTTTTACTGGAAATTTGTCAAAATTGAATGTTGTCAGCACTAGTGCGCAAAATTAGCCCTTGTCCGCACTAGTGCGCAAAAATGAATTTTGGCCTCCCAACTGCGTGTGCAAAATACCTATTTTGAGCACGCTCGTAGAAAAAAATTGTTTCCACATTTTTTTTTTTTTTTTTATGAAAATACAAATGTTTTATTTAATTCACGTTACTAAACAACACATTTATTCATATCAATTTTTTAATATCTTAGTAAAAATACTATTATCCATAATTTGTTTTGCTTAATTTACAAAAATACATTATGAATAAAAAAAAAACGTACAGTACAAGCAAATAAACCACTAGAAAATATTTGAAAACCAGTTTCAGTAAATTGTCTTAAAATCTAAAGGTACAAGCAGTCTGAATAAAAATCAGACATAATCAATAATAAACAAAAATTGAATTTTGGTCCCTTTGGTACATTTGCTGATTGAGCACAAGTAACAATAAACCAAAAGCAAACACAACACAAAAATAAAATATTCATCTGAAGTTGAAACCTGGGTCTATAACTCCTCTCAATGTTCCAACTAGTTTTATATCCACTGGTTGAATAGCCACTCTTTTAGCATGGGCTGCACATGCATTGGCATCGATCGAGTCAGGTAAGTTTCGGCTATCAGTTGTAGGGCTTCTAAGGCTTCCACGGTTATCCTTTTGGTGCTGCCTTGTAAGCGTTTTGCTCCTGTTTGTTGTAGTTTTGGTTAATTTGATTTGTCCAGTTTTGTTTGTGAGATATCAGAAGCTGAAGGATAATATTTATGGGCCTTGGGACGAGGCTGTTGTGAATGATGCTGATAATATTGTGTTGTAATATTTTTTTTTTTTAAGTTTTGAACATTTGATATGTCTATTAGTTTATTTTCTATTTAAAAAAAAGGTACTTCAGCTTCAAAAACCCTAAACAATAGAAATAAAACACTCTCAAAATACTATCATAAGTGTAAGTCCATTAAAGCAGTGTAAATATTTACATTACATTTAAAGTTCAATATAAGAATGAGATTAAAAAATAGTAAGAACCCTATAAAAATTATTTTTGGTAAATCCTACTTAAATTTAATCAGTTTTAGAATAGCAAAGAGCATTTCTAGGTTAGGATTTATACTGGTTTGTTGGTTGTTGTTCCATTACAAAAAGTTGGAAAAAGGGGGCTCATAATTCTAAAACACCTTAAAACAAAATGACGAAAAAGAACGACACACCGAAAAAAATCGCTAAAAAAAAACAATAAGTATTCTTCGTAGTTAAAATCATTCCCAGGCATCAGTCTTGTTCGAGAGAAATGCTCAAAGTGATGAAACGCTTACAAGGCAGCACCAACTTCATGATTAATAAAGCACCATTTGCCAGACTGATCCGAGAAATATTGCAATCCTGTTCACAAGAAAAAAGGATAACCGTGGAAGCCTTAGAAGCCCTACAACTGATAGCCGAAACTTATCTGACTGATTTGTTCATCGATGCCAATGCATGTGCAGCCCATGCTAAAAGAGTGGCTATTCAACCAGTGGATATAAAACTAGTTGGAACATTGAGAGCAGTGGCGACGCCAGGGGGGGGCCAGAGGGGGCCGAGGCCCCCACTGAAATTTAGCCGCCCCCCCCTGAAAACTTGCCCTCATGCCGTCAACTTGCCCTCATGTCGTCAACAACATCAGTAGCCTCTGCCTGGTTAATTGGGTATTCGGTGGGCACAGGAAACCGCGACGCTGCTTTCGCTTTCGTGGGATTCTCCCCGGTTTCTCAATAGCATGTCACCACCGGGTTAAGCATAGCTCCAGGGTAACCATTGCAACTGGACACGTTTACCCTGGAGTTAAAAACCAACCCGGAGGTGACTCGCTATTGAGAAACCGACCCTGAACTGTTAATTGATTAGGTATCAAGAAGGTGTAGGTAGGTACCTATACAGGGTGTCGGTTTTTCGAGGGCATACCATTGGAATATAGGAAACGGTAAGAGATACAGTTTCTTGCTTAACAAAACGCTACTTCGAAATTTGGAATATTCCGTATACTTCCGGAGATACATGGAAAAAACCATAATTTTGCAAAATCGTTTTTATCTTTTCCTGAACTCATTTGGACAGATATTTTAAATAAACTTCACTTTATAGGGGCAACTTTGTCTCCTCTACATAATGGTGTAGCCAAATTTGAAATCCGACGTTTCGTCTTTTGCCGATCATCATCAACTTTATTTTTTTAAATACAGGTTCGCATATGTTTAAATTGTATTCGGAGTTTTTTGATCTTCCAAAAGCAGTTGGCCATTGATAAATAATTTTTTTCAAATTCAAATTAATGCACGACCCTCTGCTTATCTCTTTCCAATCATTCCAATACACTATTTTCACTTTACTTTCCGGAAGTATTCGGAATATTCCAAATTACAAAGTGCGCATTTTGTTAAGCAAGCGCAACTCTGTCCCAGTTTAACTGAATCTGTATCTCTTACTGTTTCCTATTTTTCAATGGTTGCCCTCGAAAAACGAACACCCTGTATACAAAATACAAATTAAAACCCTTTTGATGCCTATTCAGTGGGGTGCAAAAATATACGGGAAAACCCTGCACTTTCCATTTTTTATTCCAAAGAAAAAAAGCAATTAAGTAAAAACAAGTGCCCCCTCAAAATTTATCTAGCCCAGTCTGGGGCCTCATTCTGTAAAGAACGAACCGTTCGATTCGGTAGAATTTCTTCGATTGTGACGTCATTTTCGGAATAGCTTCCGTGCTAGCAAACCGAAAATGACGTCACAATCGAAGAAATTCTACCGAATCGAACGCTTCGTTTTTTACAGAATAAGGCCCCTGGCCCCCCCCTAACATAAAACTCTGGCGTCGCCACTGATTGAGAGGAGTTATAGACCCAGGTTTCAACTTCAGATTAATATTTTATTTTTGTGTTGTGTTTGCTTTTGTTTTATTGTTACTGTACCAAAGGGACCAAAATTCAATTTTTGTTTATTATTGATTATGTCTGATTTTTATTCAGACTGCTTGTACCTTTAGATTTTACTGAAACTTGGTTTCAAATATTTTCAAGTGGTTTATTTGCTTGTACTGTCCGTTTTTTTTTATTCATAATGTATTTTTGTAAATTAAGCAAAACAAATTATGGATAATAGTATTTTTACTAAGATATTAAAAAATTGATATGAATAAATGTGTTGTTTAGTAACGCGATTTAAATAAAACATTTGGGAGGCCAGAATTAGGGTTTCCATGAAGGTTTTTCGAAATCCAGGACCTGGGAGTCAAGAAATCCGGACAAAATCCGGACTTGGCCGATAAAATTTGTATAAAGGATGAATTTTGTTTATTTTTTGCAAAAATAAATTTTTACAGAAATTAATAGATAGGTGCGCTTTGAGCATTTTTTCCGTGAGACTGAAGACAATGAGACAATGACAAATACAAGGTACCAATGACAAGAGACAAAAATATAATAACACGTGTATCAATCCTATAGGCAACCCAGAATAAATGGATACAGGATACAATTTACTTGCCACTCAGGATACAAAATTTCGAATTTTCGGTAGGTATCTCCGGTTTTCCGGACATTGTTCCGAATTCCGGCCGGACTTCCCCGGACACCCTAAAAACCCAAACATGTCCGGGTAAATCCGGACGTATGGAAAACCTAGCCAAAATTCATTTTTGCGCACTAGTGCGGACAAGGGCTAATTTTGCGCACTAGTGCTGACAACATTCAATTTTGACAAATTACCAGTAAAAATATTCATGTACCCTTGAAGGTCTGTTTGCACAGATATCACAAACCAGTCAGAGCGAATTTCATTGGTTGGAAATAGTTAGTAAACTGGTTATTCGCGATTTGAACCACTCAAAAAACGCTCTAACTGGTTTGTGATTTCTGTGCAAACAGACCTTCAAGGGTATATGAATATTTTTACTGGTAATTTGTCAAAATTGAATGTTGTCAGCACAGAATACATATCCTTACGGATAGAAGACAAACTGCCTTATAAAATTTTTGGGAACAATGCGCCGTCGCGGCGCGGTGGATGCGATCCGAACTATTTATAATAAAGGTTTCTGTAATCAAATCAGCTTTTGCGCAAGCGTAGTCCAATTTAAAACTGATTATGAACTGAAGTCCAAACTAACCTTTTTCCTCATTATAGTCATTATTGAATATTGACGGATTTTTCTTCCGAGTAGAGCAAAAACGGCCAAACTTCTTGTGTTTTGTGTAAAATCTTATTTTTTTTTTCGAATTTAGGAAACATTTATCTGGATTTAAAATGCACACCAACACCAAGACGAATTCTCATTCAGTCTGGTGGCGTTCATTGTTGGTTCATTCCGCACCTGTAGTTCTGTTTCACTCCAGCGTCTCCAAGCAGATGCGATCCGAAGCTTTTTTTTAGGCCCCGCCCTCCATTAAGCTTTTTTTTCTATCCGTGAGGATATGTGTTCTGTGGTTGTCAGCACTAGTGCGCAAAATTAGCCCTTGTCCGCACTAGTGCGCAAAAATGAATTTTGGCCTCCCAACTGCGTGTGCAAAATACCTATTTTGAGCACGCAAAAATTGTTTTTTTTTTTTTTTTTATGAAAATACAAATGTTTTATTTAAATCACGTTACTAAACAACACATTTATTCATATCAATTTTTTAATATCTTAGTAAAAATACTATTATCCATAATTTGTTTTGCTTAATTTACAAAAATATATTATGAATAAAAAAAAAACGTACAGTACAAGCAAATAAACCACTTGAAAATATTTGAAAACCAGTTTCAGTAAATTGTCTTAAAATCTAAAGGTACAAGCAGTCTGAATAAAAATCAGACATAATAATAAACAAAAATTGAATTTTGGTCCCTTTGGCAAACACAACACAAAAATAAAATATTTATCTGAAGTTGAAACCTGGGTCTATAACTCCTCTCAATGTTCCAACTAGTTTTATATCCACTGGTTGAATAGCCACTCTTTTAGCATGGGCTGCACATGCATTGGCATCGATGAACAAATCAGTCAGACAAGTTTCGGCTATCAGTTGTAGGGCTTCTAAGGCTTCCACGGTTATCCTTTTTTCTTGTGAACAGGATTGCAATATTTCTCGGATCAGTCTGGCAAATGGTGCTTTATTAATCATGAATTTGGTGCTGTCTTGTAAGCGTCTCATCACTTGGAGCATTTCTCTTGAACAAGACTGATGCCTGGGAATGTTTTTAACTACAAAGAATACTTCTTGTTTTTTTTTAGCGATTTTTTTCGGTGTGTCGTTCTTTTTCGTCATTTTGTTTTAAGGTGTTTTAGAATTATGAGCCCCCTTTTTCCAACTTTTTGTAATGCAACAACAACCAACAAACCAGTAAAAATCCAAACCTAGAAATGCTCTTTGCTATTCTAAAACTGATTAAATTTAAGTAGGATTTACCAAAAAATAATTTTTATAGGGTTCTTACTATTTTTTAATCTCATTCTTATATTAAATTTTAAACATAATGTAAATATTTACACTGCTTTAATGGACTTAGAAAATATATTTTACACTTATGATAGTATTTTGAGAGTGTTTTATTTCTATTGTTTAGGGTTTTTGAAGCCGAAGTACCTTTTTTTTTAAATAGAAAATAAACTAATAGACATATCAAATGTTCAAAACTTTAAAAAAAAAATATTACAACACAATATTATCAGCATCATTCACAACAGCCTCGTCCCAAGGCCCATAAATATTATCCTTCAGCTTCTGATATCTCACAAACAAAACTGGACAAATCAGATTAACCAAAACTACAACAAACAGGAACAAAAAGCTCATCAAAAACGACACTTGTATTAAAAAGCCAAAATCCAACACAAACAAAATCACAGTTAATATCACATTGTGATTTAGTTCTTTACGTAAAATCGGTGATAGTACAAATATTTGAGTTGCCACTGTTAATAATACGAAAGCGTCGTTTGCGGATGTTAACCGAGAAGCTAGGCATATAGAGGCAAACATTGCCGCACTTAGTGAAATGCTTTTAGAAACCATGGCGCTGGAAACCCCATAGTCAAAAAATATTAAATGCAGGAGGAGCATTATAAAAGTCATTGTATAAATCGTATCTGTACTTATAGTGTCTGTTAAAGTGTGTAGGACTGGAGAAAATAGTTGACCAAAAGCGACAAATGTGAGAATTGTCCTGATGTCGTAGCCTAACGAGTGTTGCTTTACCTTCGGGGCACCTAAAAATTCTCATTGCTGAAAATTATTTATGCAAAATAACGACTTACTGTTGGTAAAATCGATCCGGTAAAAGACAAACCCCAAAAAGCTCGTGCCGCTCATTCCATACAAAACAATCCCGGGCTCTACCCACTTGTTAACCATGTACAAATAAATTAAAATAAATAAAATTACGGTGAAAAATTCTTGTAACAGTCGGCTAGCTCCAAGGCAAGCTTCCCACAAGCTGACTTCTTTAAAATCTACATTTTTTCTGAGGTCTTTGAGGAAAATGTTTTGATCAGTGTAGTTGTCTGGATAGTCTTGTTTTTCGTACAGGATTTTTTTCCAGGGTGCCTTGGGACGTTTTTTTCTTGTGCTCATTGTTGATAGGTGGAAATTTTATTATATTATTACTTTACATTGTATTTTTAAAAGTTTGTTTATAAAGAAAAGTAAACAAACAAATTTAAAAATTATAGGTTATGTAGGAGGTTGGCGGGGGGGGAGGGGTTAAAGTGTCATATTAGTAGCGTTTTCGTAAATAGAAATTAGAGGAGACCGATCAGTGCTGCCAGCCAACAAAAAATTGAAAACGATTAACCTTGCGTTCGTTATTTTGCTCAAAGAGCAGAGCGTGCAGAGCGGAGCTGTAATCACGTCACCAGCGAGCACACAGAGCAGTTGAACGCTGTATCAGAGGGCTCGAAATTTCAATAAATGAACGTGAATGAGCCTGCACCGAGTACACTTATTAACTAAACGAACGGTAAATTTATGCTCGGAGAACTCAGATCAAAATACCGAACGCACGGTAAGTAAAATTTAACTTGCTTCCGGACGGAGGTTGCAGCATGACACTCCAGCCAGGTGCCACATTTTGATCGTTACCGAGCTACTCCAAAGTACTCCGGTTACAGTTTGACCCGTTTGGTTCCAAGCGTTCGAGTGCAAAACGCATGGAGTATGACAGGTATGAAGTGTTCTAGGAGCTTCGCACTCTGCCCCCGAAAACGGCTGTGGCAGCCCCCCTGATTAGAATGCGTTTAGAAATGGAGTGTGAAGGTAGCGTAGTTGTTTGTCAGAGTGTTCTGACTTCACTAGTTGGAGTGCACTCTGGGTGCGCTATTGCTGAACGTATTTGGGCATTGCAATGAATCTAATATCATGAGCTTAGTCATGAATCACGTCAAACCAGGTAAAAACCAATGTAAAAATCTCGGGGCGTTTTTCAACCCAGTCCCGGAGTAGGGTGATTTGGGCGCACTCTGAGCACGTCAACTCTCGATTTTTGAACGATTCCAGCGTAACGTTCCGAGTAAGCACCTGTTAATTTATGAACGGTTTAGAGTTACTCTAGGGTCACTCTCACACCCAGAATGCTATTTCTAAACGCAACTCTATCCTTGCGTTCTGTATTTTGCTCAAAAAGCAGAGCGTGCAAAGCAGAGCCGTAATCACATGACCAGCGAGTGAACAGAGCATTTAAACGTTGTATCAGAGGGCGCGAAATTTGAATAAACGAACGTGAATGAGCAGCTTACACCAAGTACAGTTTTTAAATAAACGAACGGTAAATTTATAATAATAAATAAAGCATGGTTATCGTGACGTCATACGCGGTCATAATCCCAACGGAAAAGAGAACACTCCGAGAGCTGAAACGAACAAAATCTTATCGTTTCGAGCGCGTTCAGAGTTTACAGAGTGTAAAGCCGAACTCAGCCTATGCTATAACCCAACAGAAAAGAACAGGTTTGATCGTGAATCACATCTCGAACCAGTTCGGAACTATAGTTCAGAATTGTCTTAAGCCTCGTGAACCAGTTCTAGATTTATTTTTTGTGCGAAAGTTTGCGAAATAGAAAACGCAAATTCAGAACTATCAAAAATGTAATGTCGCATAGGACTACTTTTGTCTCGAACTATTTCTGCTTTTTTTCGCGGATCTTATTTCGAACTAGAACTAATTTAAAATTCTCGTAGAGCTGAGATTGAGTAGATTTTGGGGCCTCACTAGGGCCTTGGGTTAATCGTTTAAATGAAGCGCTAGTCGCCCAAGTTGACCCCGTAATTTTGACGAAGCAGCGTCCAAAATCTCAGATCACGCACTCGGAAAAAAAGGATAATTTTATGGACGAATTCCATTGTCCAAACTCGTGCGGCACGAGTGCTATATTCGTCAATTCAGTGCAATAGTTTTCGATAAACTGGTTCCGCACGACTTCGGAGGTTGTATTGCATTTTGACGTTTTTGTTGTTTTGATACAAGAATCGTAAACAAACAGGATTGCCATCTTCTTAAATCGTACGTTCGCCAATTCTTGGGTCAACATGGCCTGCGAGTGACTTCACCACTATTAGCAGCATAGCAGCTTATAGTGGTGACGTCACCTGCAGGTCTCGATGTGATGCTTGCGATTGGTCGTGCTTAACCGAATTTTTGCGACGAATGTAGTTCATCTAAGGACGAACCATAGGTCGTCTGTGACGTCATGAGTTTGTTTGAACGCTGGCTAGAAGCTGCATCCATGCTTCCGTCGAACTACGTTTAATATGACGTCATAAATTTGTCGCGAAAGCGTTTGTGTACATGAAATCATGGAAGTAGTTCGTCACGAAAATACGGTTCTTGTTTTTTCGTCGATTTCAAATGCAGAATGCGAAAATATATTTCACATCGACACCACTCCGGTGTAAAACCTGCCATATATTTCTATATAAGTAGCACGCCTTTTGCTTCTCACCATCAAGTCGCACGTCGCATGCTACTTTGGTGTGAATGCTCAGTCAAAATCGCTTTTTCTACATTTAAAATCGACGAAAAAACTAGCAACACATGAATCGCAAGCATCTTGAGGTCTGCGGGTGACGTCACTACTATAACTCAAAGACATTAGGATTCTCAGAAGAAAAAAATAAAAAAAGCAATAAACATATCCTAAATTTTTAAATTTTGGTAACAGATCCAATCTCGGTCAAAAGTGAACCCCATTGGGATTGCACCAGTGCAAGTTTTAAATTGGCCTGAACGAGTGTTAGTGCCGCACCGTTGCCACACTGTTTTTTCCAATGGAATTCTCTATAAGAACTTGCAAAACTAGTACAAAATTGTTAATTTTGGCTGAGTTCGGCTTTGCACTCTACGGAGCGGAACGGTATGAGCAGAATTCGCCCTGAACTAGTTCATATGTCGAACATGGAAAAAAAATCCTGGTTCTCGAAAACGCTCACCGGTTTTTAGACGCTCAGCATTTCTAATGTAAATTCACATTAAAAATGCCGAGCGACTGAGAAGCGTTGAGCGTTTTCGAGAATGAGAATACCGGCCCGAAAACCCTTAGCTGCTTTCGAGTGCCACCCTTTGAGCGCTCCCGAGTTACTCCGAAGTACTCCAGCTACAGTTTGACCCGTTCGGTTTCGGTTTCAAGCGTTCGAGTGCAAAACGCATGCTCGGAGTCTACAGAGTGTAAAGCCGAACTCAGCCTTAAATTGCACATCCGAAGGTGGGTTCGGCTTGCTCACTCCGTGCACTCCGAGTGACTCTATTCGCACTCCAGCAGTTCGGGTTAAGGTTCGGGTATCGCTTTTTACCGTATTAGGGGTAACTCCATTAGCTCTGTTCACTCCACTCCAACTTCGTGCTGAGTAGTCGAACCCAGCTCGAGTAGTTCATAGTTTGCGTTCGGTAATTTGCTCAAAGAGCAAAGCCTGCTGAAGTGGAGCCGTAATCACGTGACCAGCGATCGCACAGAGGTGTTCAACGCTCTATCAGAGCGCTCGAAATCATAAACGAACAACGAACGCGAATGAGCCTACACCGAGCCTACTTTTCAAATAAACGAACGGTAAATTCAAGCTCAGAGATTTCAGATCAAAATACCTTAACGCACGGATAGCCGCATAAAACTGTCTCTCATGGTTGTGAATCCCTAGAGCTTGCAGTTTGCAAAACTAGCTCAGAATGAATTCGGAAGCCATTCTTGATGAATCGCGAACAATGAATGTGCATATTTCCGACTCCGATCACTTCTGAATCCTGACCGAGCAGAAAATAAATCAGCATCGGAACGTTCCCATTTTTCTAACGGTCTTCTTTGACGTTTGTCAAAACTGTCAAAAAATTCGAAATAACAACTTCATCAACACACAAAAATAACTGCCTTTGCTTTTAAAAAATTCCAATATTATTTTTATTTATTATCGAATTTATTAAGTATGAATTCCGCTAGCAGATTCAACCCACCCAGTGCCAAAAAGCTGAGAAGAGAAAAAACAACGTTATCGAGCCATTCGTCAGAGTCTGATGGTGAACAAAGTAACAAGGACCCGGTTCACGTTTACTGCAGGATCAGGCCGTTAAAAGAGGGCTCGGAGCCGACAACTTGCCTCAAAATCCTTTCCGCCGATACTCTGGCCCTCAACACGCCAGATAGCAGAAACACACGCAAAGAAATCCACTACAAGTTCAAGCACATCTTTACGGCATTTTCGCCCCAAGCTGAACTATTTGCTCATGTAGCTTACCCCCTTTTAGAAGATTTGTTGCATGGGAAGAATGGCTTGCTGTTCACTTATGGAGTTACCGGTTCTGGTAAAACTTACACTCTTACCGGAGATCAAAACGATCCGGGCATTATGCCCAGATGTATTGATACGATATTTAATTCCATTGCTGATTATCAGGCACCGAAATGCGTTATTAAGTCGGATAGGATGAATGGCTTCGAAATTCAGACTGAAGATGATGCTATGCATGATCGGTTGCAAGCTGTGAAGAGTTGTTTTACTAAGACCCCGAAAACTCCAAGGTAAATGTTATTGAAATTCATTGTTTTTTCAGTTTTTCAATATTTATCAGGCAGATTGATTAAATTCTAGTATTTGCATCCAATTCTCTAGGTACATTATTTACATGATTTATTAGAATTTCCCAAGAAAATCCTTGCCTGAGTCACTTGCTTTTTCAATAAATCCTGAATTAGATTGCTTTATTTATTCAATCCTTGATTCAATCTTAGGTATATTTATTATTTATTTATTATTTATTTATTTATTTATTGATCAACAATAGTATCCTTAAATAATAACAAAAATACCCAATATAGTTTACCTATACTTAACACTATTGCCTAATGTGGGTGCACGATGGTATTTGAAATACTGTGTGTGCCCCTTTTTTCCTATATCAGTCTATCCCTTGAGGTTCCTAATTTGACTCACTTATGTATATAAATATAAACAATAATAATGTTATTATCTTTTACTATTTTTAAATTAGGTAATGTATCTTGTAATTACTCTGACGAATCCACTGTTTTATTTCTCTTTTACATCTATGATATGGCTTGTTTCTAATATTATTCGGGAGGCTATTAAAAACTTTTGGTCCTAAGCTAGAAATGTGATATTGACAGATTGTATGTTTGGGGTTGTGTCTTGTCACATTGTTCTTAGCAGTGTTTCTCGTATTTACTCCGTGGCTAATAGGTTCCTTATAATAAGGCACTTTTAACATAAATCTAACTATTGCCTTAAGGTGCAATTGTTGGATATCTAACAGTTCACTATCTTTGAAAACCAACTCAGTTGGATATCTTTTATTTTTAAATAACATAATTTTTATTATGTATTTCTGTGCTACTTGGAGCTTGTTCAATGTAGTCACACCTGCACTACCCCAAACAACAATGCCATAATTAATTATGGATTCGACGAGCGCATAGTAAACTACTTTCAAGGTAACCAGAAGGAAAATAAATAAATAAGAACATTTCTGCTGAAGTCCTGATGGACTTGTGCGCAGACTTTTCTTGTTATTCCATTCAGTTATGCAGACCGCGTTTACATGTTGAAACAAAATAATAAGTAGTCATAGGAAGTACTTGAAAACACAAAACAATCTAAATTTGACCCTTAGCATACCAGGGAGCATACCCATTTCCATAAATTTACAACAATAATTATAAGTATATAAATAATAACAAAACAAAAAAATACCTCAGTAGCCCTATGTTGTATAAATCCATTGTCACTCTGCACTTCAAAAAAACAAGATTCATAAAGAGAATTTGCCTATTTTAAAGAAGAATTCTTTGAACCTAAAGATTGAATATGCAACTCGATATGCAAGTAATGTTATTTGAGTTTTCCATTTATTAGTTCATTAAAAAACGTACGGGGAGTTTCAAGAATCCATTTCTTCAAAATACTTCTAAACAATTTCAATATAGTGACATCCTTAAGAAAATCTGGCAAAAATCTATAGATGTAAGGCCCGAGAAAGGAAATTGTTCTTTGAGCAATTGTCTTTTTGGTTTTAATAGTTGCAACCCTCAGTTTCAACTTTTGTCGGGTATTATGTGGGTGATCAATCATATTTAGTTTGTGCCTATATCTGAATTGATATATTAACAATTTGAAGGTATATAATTTATTAATGTCCATTAGCTTACTCTCTTCATATGTTTTGTTACTTGAATAAAGGCGATTTTTATTGATCATTATCCTTAGGAAAACCTTTTGAATTTTTTCTAACTTTTCAATATGTATTTTATAGGCTCCACCCCACCCAACTATCCCATACTGAATTAAGGATTGAACGAGTGCACAATACATAATCCTAAGTTGTGAAAAGCAAAGAATTTTTTTTAGTTTTTTAAATTTAAAAAGTATAACACGTAGTTTATTTATTAGGTTGTTGATATGTACGTCCCATTTCAAATATCTATCCAGTACTATTCCCAAATATTTTATATTATCTGTCCCTTTTATAGTTACTTTTGAGTTATTTGCTTGTGTTACGTTAATTTCTGTGAAATTTGGAGCTTTTGCCTTACTACAACTGAAAGGTATGTATTTTGTTTTCTTAAAGTTAATTGTCAGAGACATCTCATCAAACCAATCCTTTATCTTTGCTAAATCCTTTTCTGCTTGTAGTTTCGTTTCTTTCCATGTTTTTCCACTGTATATAATAACTGTATCATCAGCAAACGATGCGATCAGCCCAAATGTATTTATGTTTAACAAGCCATTTATATACATTGTAAATAGGATTGGGCCTAGTACGCTTCCTTGAGGAACACCGTACTCCACAGTTGTTGGTTCACTAAATGTTTTACCGATCTGGACATATTGCCTTCTTTCACTTAGATATGATATTATCAGTTTTTCTGTAATTCCACGAAATCCTAGATTTTTTAAGACAGTTATCAGCATGGGGTGATCCACAGTGTCGAATGCCTTTGCAAGGTCTAAAAAAAATACCATAACATATTCATCATTATCAAGTTTTCTGTAAACATTATCCGTTACGTATGCTATGGCATATCTTTATCTACTGGTAAGTATTTAACTGAGGGTTATTTTTATTTTTTGGGAATTTGCTTTTGGTGCTTACGCCCTAAAAAGACTCCAAATCCTGAGTTTTGAGTCATTACCTTGGTCATTACTTTGTGAAGTTCCTGGTTCTAAAGAGATGATTCTTATAGAATCTTTAAATTATTCTTTCGCAAATGTTCCGTTTCATTTTTAGGAGACTCTAAGGATCTTAAGATTCTAAATTTTGAGAAGAAGAAAATTTCTTTGAGCTTCTATGAAAAAACTTCTCTACGTCATAGATCCTAAATTCTAAGTTATCTCTTTGGAAATGTCCTGATTCCCTCCAAAAAGACTGTTGGTATCGTTGGATTCTTGAAACTTACAAATCCGAGCAAAGCAAAGCAACACTAGATTTAAAAATTACTCCATAATCAGTGTACAAATTTGGCTACCGGTTTACCCCCTAAATAATTTTAAAATTATACAGAATCAACAATTATTTAACAAGGTTTCAAGATACCTACCTCAATAAATCCATTTGCCTAAATCGCTTTGTTTTTTTTTTTAATAAATTAGGAAAGGAAACGGTGACAAAATCTCCTACTCGAACGATGGCACAAGAATCCAATGCATCAACGAAAACAACCTCTATTCCGTATTCATCAGCTACGTAGAAATCTACAATAACAGCGTCTTTGACTTACTAGACGAATCTTCTGGAAAAACTCTACAAAACAAAATTCTACGCGAAGATTGCCACAAGAATATGTACGTTAATGGAGTAGTAGAAATAGAGGTAAAAAAATGTTTACATTATTTAAAATCATTCAAGTGAAATTCTCAACAGGTGAAAAGTGCTCAAGAAGCTTATGAAGTCTTCAACGCTGGCCAAACTCGCAAACGAATGGCTTCGACATCTCTAAACTCTGGTTCAAGCAGGAGCCATTCCATTTTCAACATTAGAGTTGTTCAATTGGAAAGATATGCCACCAACAGTCACGGTCAACCGATGATACCCAATGAAAACATGATAAAAGTTGGCCAATTGAGTCTTGTAGATTTGGCCGGCTCCGAACGTACCAACAGAACTAACAATACAGGAATGAGACTCAAAGAAGCGAGCAGTATCAACAATTCTTTGATGTCTTTGAGGTCTTGTTTGGAGATTTTGAGGGAAAATCAAATGAATAAGGGAAACAGGCTGGTGCCTTATCGTGACAGTAGATTGACCTTCATATTCAAGCATTATTTTGAAGGAGATGGTACTGTTAAAATGGTTGTATGCGTTAATCCTTCCTTAGAGGACTTTGAAGAAAATATTCAAGTATTAAAGTTTGCCGAAATGACTCAGGACGTGAAAATTGCAAAGGCCGAAGTCAAATACACTCCTATTAAAAAAACTATTAGCAGAAACAAAGAAAATCAAACCCCAGCCAAATCCGTTACTAAATCAGCATCATCATTTACATTATTGCCAGATGTGCCAATAGTGAAACTCAATTTGGATGCTACAGATGAATGCCGGTCAGCTATTGACAAAGTCATAAAAGTACTTAAACTGCGCGCAGCTAAATCCAAACATTTAGACAAGGATATTGATGAGAGGCAACAGGAGTTGCGGAAAAAGTTGGTTACATTGAATCAGCAATGTGTGCTGACTAGTGCCGAAATGAAGAGTTTGAAAACGATGATACATAAGGTAAGGAATTCATGATGTTAAACTCTTATGTAATTTTAATTTATTATTTAGGAAAAACAAAAATCGCGCAACTTACATCTGAAAATGACAGACATTGAATCTGCCAATCAAGATTTGCAAGGCAAAAACGAAGAGCTTGTAGATATTGTAAGGTCCTTAAAGAACACTGTCAACGAAAAGGACTTGAAGATTAACCATTACATTTTGGAAAAGGATAGGACAAAGCAGAAACTTGGTAAGAATTTATGATTTGATTGATAATATACAGATTTGAAACTTGAGGAGTCTAATTCATTATTTTTGTTTTCAGTGTTGGAAAACGAAAAAAAGAACCAAGAGCTGGACGCCAAATTGAGACGTCAACGAGCCCACCTGAACGCAGCGATGAAAGCCAAAGATGAAAAGTTGAGAATGGTCAAGGGAATAATCGACGCTGAAATGCCGCCAGTAGAAATGAATACTATTGATTTGGATTTGGCCGATCCGGTAAAATCCAGGGACTCGCAAATTACTCAGACACCGCAAAGTTTTTCGCAATCGCACGTTTATAGAAGGAATTTGACTCCGGGCCCTGCAACAAAATCGAGAAGATCTAGATCAGCTGGTAAGGGTTTTATTTTAGCATATTTGCAATTTTTATAAATCCTTTTCAAATTTAGGTGAAGTCTGGTTGGAACACAATGTAATCAAACCGTGTCCTTTGGGTACGGTTATGCAACCGTCAATGAAAAAACGTAAATCGGTCTCGAAATTAGACAAAGCTAGTGACATTACGAACCCGAAGCAAAGCAAATATTGCTTGGTGGCTCAAGAACCCGACACCGATGGAGAAATTGAAACTAAACTTTACAAAGCCGACATTGTACCGACTTGTGGAGGCGGAGCTCAAGTGATTTTTAATGATGTGGAAAGGTTGCGACAGGAATCGCCTACCAAAAGTCCATAATACCGTTATTTTTTTCATGGAATTAATTTTTTGTTTTTAATTAAGAATTACTTACTTTAAATTATTTTTAGTAGATTCATTTGTATACATTTTAGTTTTAGTTTGTTTTACCCTTGGTCGTACTTAAAATATATTATATAATATTCTATTGTGTGTTTGTTTTTCTGTGGTTATACAGGGTGTCCACTCACTGCGATATCGGACGATATGCCTTTACAGGGTTATGCAAGAGAAAAAAATCAAATTACAAAGTTGTTTGATGCTCTAAGGGGCATCAGTTAAATATATTTTCGAATATACAGGGTGTTCCATGAATAGGGTATGTGACAGAACTTTGTTATTTTAAATGGAACACCCTATACATATTTTATTACATTAATGGATCATTGGAGGGGATACACCAGTGGTGGATTGCTCTCCTTGGCGACAGAAAGTTCTGTTATATGCTGTGGTTCTGTTTACTGTAATGTCTATCTGTGTTGATATGTCATTGACAAAAACCAACATATTTCATTCGAGATCCTAGAAACAATCGCAGGTTGTTATGCCCATGTATTACATCTGTGCATTTTTCCGTGTATTTATTCATGTAGTTCAGGGTGCCAACCCTATTTTGTTTTCCATATGCTGATTTAATGAATACCGGATTTATTGCCGGTGTAATACACTCTAGTGATATAGTCACCTAAATGCTTTGTATCTTAGCATAAAAGGTTCCAAAAAATATCCGCTCCTATTATAATGTCGATATTACCTGACCTATGAAAATATGGATTGGCAAGTTCAATAGAATCAAGTATTTTCAATGATGTTGGATCGAACAAATAACTAGGAAGGTTGTCTGTTATGTCCGTAAGTATTAAACAATGTACTGTTATAGGTACTAAATTTTGAATGCATTGATTTCAACTTTAATGTCACAAGATCTTACCCTGAGCCTGTACTCGATATATTCCAGAGACTGAAATATTAGTAGTGTAATATTCCGAGAAAATAGACCCATAAATCACAATGTCTTTACTGTAAAAAAATTAAATAATATCAAATAATCAAAAACTGAATTTCCGGTATTTCCAAATCAGTATCGATAAATTAAAAATGGAACAAATCAATGTGACCCCAAATACATTCGAAATTATATTATTTCCCCAGCGTGATGTCATCCTAACATCCGATCAATGAACTTTTTTTTTAGCGAGGCCAAATAATTAAATCGAATGATTTATGGCATTCTTGAACCAATGTATTTGACCCCGATAAATCGGGACATTGCGACATAATTATTCGATTTTTTAAACTAAAAATTATAAAAATTTCAGGGAAATTGCATCATTATTTTTAATAATATCTAGGTCGGCCAATGGGATTGTCTTATTGATGGTCAAACGACCGCCTATTGACGATTTTGGGGGATAATTAATAATACTTTGCGGGGGGAACGATTAAATATAAATACTGCGTGTTGGAGATTCTTCATATTCCTCTAGAAAATTATTTTATATCATATTTACAAAATCGAAAAGCTAGAATATATTATTTAGGTCAACTATTATTTGGGCCCCAAGTAAAATAGCAAGTTTTTATGCCTTCTTTTGTGAAGCTTTTTAAGTAAAAAACCCCACCGCCGGTCGCCCTGTTGCCGCAGGCTATAGATACAAAACGGCAATATAAGAGATAAAATCTAAAATATTTTTAAGATTAGTCGACGAGTAAACTCCGATAAGGAAAGGGCTTGCTTCTTGTTTTCAATAGAAAATTTCTTTTCTTCATTGACCACGCGCTACAACGTTCCATAGTTCTGTAGTGAATTTGATATGGCAACGAATATTTTTTGTACAGTGTGAATAGTGTGATTAATGGTATTGAATTATTAAAACCAGTGTATACTGTATGCGTGCCAGTCAAACTGCTCGACAATTATTGTACATTTCGCTATTGAATAAACTTATTGGTTAAATGCTTTTTGCCCAATAGGAGTGTTTTACTTTAACCAGTTTAACCCAGGCTCACAGGATATACTTTCTTCAACCAAAAACTTTTAAAATATACAGTCCACTCACGCCACTGCGGTTTTAGAAGTGGAAGGCAGTTGTCAGTTGAGTTGCCAGTTGTTAGCAGTCCAGTTTGAGTTAAAGTCTACAGAACCTAATGAGTCAGAAGGGTTGAAATTCGCGAAAAGTTCTTATTAAGGCCTCGGGTTTAATTTAACTTAGAAAAAGTACGGAAAATTGTGAAAGAAATACCATTTGAAATTCGTTCAACTTATGTGCGTGCTCTAGAAAATTTTGAGTAATTAATTAAGTAATTTTACGTGTGAAAAGTTAAATTTAAGTACTTTAAGTGATTATTAATGTTTTTCTGACTTTTATCAATGATTCTGAATGATAAGAAGTGAATTAACAAATGACTTCCAATGCCTAAAACTTGAGTGATTTTTACTAGAAAAACTTTTTGACTTTATAATTAACTTTGGTACTTTATTGCATAAATATTAATAACTCGAGTGTTTTAACTATGGAATATTATTGCATAACTTTAATCTTTAATTGCCTTCAGATATGACATTCTAATTTAATTGTGCAAAGAAAATATGAAGAGAATTTATAATGCACTTAACAATATACAATTTTGAGTAGGAATTATGAATTAAACAGTTGGGTTTATTAGCTAGGCTAGGAATCCGAAAATAGATTTTTTTCTGATTAAATAAACTATCAAATAGACCTTTTCAAGGTCCAAAACGCGCTTGCGCGTCAAATAAGTGGGGTTATGTTGGCTGTTTGTTTTGCGGTCCAAAAAGCATAGCAAGTATTATAAAAAAGTTGTAATTATTTTTTTTTTTTTTACGGATATGCGCACTCGCAAGGAAATGTCCTATCACGCTCGAGAAGCGGCAAGTGCGCGGAAATGTCGGTGTATGTTGGTCTTGAAACGGTTCAGGTTGTAACCTGCAGGGAAAACCGTCGCAGGGAGTTTATTCCACAGCGATGCTGTTCTCCAGAGATATGAATTCTGATATAAAGAGGTTCTTGGTGCCTCTAGTTTGACAGTAAATTCATGGTTACCGTCTCTTTGACGGGTTCGTCTGGTAGGTGCTACTCTCGGTGGAATCATACGTGCCAACTCTTCAGAGCATTTTCCGTGATAGTACCTGTAGAAGAGAGATAAATCGCCCACAGATCTGCGATGTTCGAGACCATCCAAGTTACGAGTAAGTGCGGGGTCATTGATCAGCTTGATAGCTCGTTTTTGCACGGTATTCAAAAGCATTAAGGTATGTTTGGGTGCTGCACTCCATATATGTGAGCAGTACTCCATAGTTGGTCGAATCTGGGCTTTGTAGAGTGTCAGCAATTGGCTTGGTGTGTACAGATGTCTTGTACGAAATAGCACCCCCAGCTTTTGGGAGGCCCTTTTAGCAATATCTGCCACGTGACTGTGCCAAGACATGTTGGTCTCTGCAGTAACCCCCAAGATGTTCAACTGACTCTGTAATGTGACAGCACTTCCAGATAGCATGATGTTTGGCTCACCGGTGCTGGTCTTTTTTGAAAACAGAGCTGCTTGGGTTTTCTGCGCGTTGAACTGTACAAGGTTTTTGTCACCAGTCCTCTATTATCTCCAGGTCGTTATTTATCTGCGATATTTGAGTTAGTCTAAGATGATGGAATTCACGTGCGGAAAGACTTGTGGGTGGTATGAGTGAGGAGACTACATTGCCATCGTCTGCAAAGCAATAAAGTGGATTTACTGTTTTATCTATGAGGTCATTTATGTAAATCAGGAAAAGAGTTGGCGAAAGGATTGCTCCCTGTGGCACACCAGCATTTATTTGGTAAGAGTTGGAGTTCTGGCCATCCAGTGCAACAAAAATGGATCTGTCCTTTAGGTAACTTTCAAACCAAGTGCAAAGTTTCGGCGATAATCCTATTGCTTTGAGCTTGTTGAGCAGATTTTCATGCCAAACTTTGTCGAATGCTTTAGATATATCTAAGGCAATTGTTCTTGTTTCACCCCGCAACTCAATCGCTTTTTGCCATAAGTGAGTGACGTATGTAAGTAAATCACCAGTTGACCTATATTTTCGAAATCCGTATTGCTTATCGTTGATAATTTTGTACTTTTCCAAGTACTTGGTTAGGTGATTGTTCACAACTCTTTCCATTACTTTTGATATCACCGGAAGTAGAGCAATTGGTCTATAGTTTAACGGATCTGTCTTTTTTCCTTTCTTTGGAATGGGTTGTACTGCGGCAGACTTCCATGATGATGGATATACTCCTTACCTGTAAGACAAATTGAATAATTTTGCGAAAGTTGGGGTGAGTTCGTTGGCGCAATTTTTGAGTACTATTGCGGGAATGCCATCCGGACCCATTGCTTTGTTTGTATCCAGCTTTTTTAGGGATTTTCGTATTTCTCTGTGACAAAAGGGTACCTCTGGCATACTATGGGAAACCCTTTCAATGAACGGTGGAGTTTTTCCGTTTGGCACTGTTAGGTTGGAGTTGGAGGAAAACATTTGGGCAAGCATATTGGCTTTTTCCTCTGATGTTGTGGCTAAGTGATTATTTTTATCTGTAAGTGGTGGTATGGATGACTTGGTGAAGTTAGATCCAACAGCTTTTGCAAGAGACCAAAAAGACCTAGAACTACTTGGACAATTCAGCAACCTGTTTTTTATTCTTTGATTGTATGTTTCTTTAGCGGAGTCAATAGTAATTTTGCAACTATTTCTGGCTTCTATAAATTCTGTGTGGTTTATTAATTAATACCTTTTCCAATTTAAAATGGCCCAAATGTCTTTTAAAAACGTTAAATTATCAGCAGCAGATGTGTCGGATGCAATTTTTCGTAATGATATTGTAGAGAAAAACAGCGTATTGGAACTTAAAAGGAATTTACGTTGAGGACATGGCCAGGGAAGGCGGTAAAAAATTAATCCCTCGGAATATCTGAGTCTTCCAACTCTGCTGTCACTATTACACTTTCCAAAAACACAATATTTGTGTGCCCCGTCGCTTTTACTAATTTTTAAATAGGTTTTCCTACAACTGCCTCTGAAAATGGAGTTTTTCGCATGCTAGGCAACCTCTGAAATTAGAGTTTTTCGCACAGCGTGTGAAAAAGTTTCTAGAAAATGAAAAT